AATGTCAGTGTTTCTGAGGGAGAGGCTGACATTTTTCGGCCTTTTTTTTTTTTGTGGGAGGCTGAAAAGTTTAAGTGCAAAATAGGTGTGTTGCATTCTGTGAAAACTTAAAAGCCTTAGTTTGGACTATTTTCAGTACAAAACAAAAATAGTAAATACTGTACTGTAATCATGTCTCTAGAAGGAGAATGTCAGCAGTAGATAGGGTAAATTAGGAGCTCTTTGTCGCTCACAAATTGCACCTTAAATGCCTGTTCTTCTGGACAGATGTTTCTCAACTTTAGCAATCTTATGATATGTGGACTTCAACTCCCAGAACTCTTCAGCCATCATGTTGGCTGGGAAATTCTAGGAGTTGAAGTTCATTCTTCTTAAAGTTGCCAAGGTTGATAAACCTTCCTCTGGACTGCATACCTTAATTATATTGTACTGCTAACATAAAGTTCATCTTCATTGTTGTGTTTTTTAAAGTAAATATTGAATGAGGAGGGTCAGTTCTGGATTCTATATCCTGTCAGGAGCCATCAGTTTAAGAATTTGTCGGAATATGGCTGGGTTGTTTGGTTTTTTTTGCTATGAAAGCAATTGTTTCCATTTTTCTTTTAGCACAAATAACAAACATTTAGAACTATCCCCATATGTAAAAGTTAAACACACTGCCAAGGTGGGTCCCGATTTGGACATGAAGGCCTCATTAGCTAAAAAGGCATGGCTTTGCTGTTTGGGGAATTCACATCCCACTTAGTCTATCTGATTAAAAATAACACAAGGCCCTGCTGTCCATTTATCATTTGGCTCATCTCATCTTCCAAATGAAAACTTCCTCCTAAATTCAAAAGGCTTGTTATACACCTTCGTTTATCTGCTCAGCGCTCCCTCCCTTCTTTTCAGCTGCCTTTTTCTGCTCAACGTGCAAAGCCTTTTCCCCAGCTGCCAAACACAAAACCTTCCCGCCACTGTGACCTACTTATTCTGGCTCTGCTCTTTCTAAAAAGAGTGTAAATAGAAACTTAGCCCCTTGGCACCCTCAGTCAGGCTTTCATAACTCGGTCCCAAATGCGAATAGCACCCAGCTAGACTGCCATTCATTAAATGTGTTAAATGTCAAAACCTTGCTGCTTTCATTCACTTTTTATGCTATTATTCGTATTTGCATGGATCTCTGAACGCGGGTTCTGTTATAAAAGCCAGTTACATGAAAGTGCTTAGATACTCTCAGGTTTGTATTAATTGAAAGAATGAAGAGCTGGTTTCTACAGTAACAATACAATAATCTAATTTTGTTATAATTAGCTATTTGCCACAACTTCATGAATGGAAGGAGGAACAGGATACTTGTAGCTGAAGATTATGTAGTACTTCATTAGTGGGTTATCTTTAAGAAAACAAGATATTCAAGGGGATTGCAGTTTCATAACATAGGAAAAAGCAGCGTTGGTTGAGAAAACTAGAATATGGCATAGTAGTTGGACTAGAATTAGAGAAACTGCCCATTTGATGATTTTGAACAAATGACCCTTAATTTCACCTACCTACATGATTGAATAGGAAAATCTGGTGGGAGAATGCTAAGCTGCTTTTTATTTCTAATGGGATCGAGTGAGAGCTTGATCTAATAATTATCTAATGCACTGTAAGTTAATAATGTATTTTTTTATTTCCTCAAGGCAATCACATGGTCCAAGTTGTCAGGTGATTAGACTTCACATAAGAAATCTTTGTTAGGGTAGATAGTTGGTCTATCTACATAATTCCTGGAAGAACATCACTGGTAGCCATGCATTTTCTCACACAAAATCTCTTGGATAGAAATTGCATTATATGGTCTTTCTATTCTCTGAGTAAGAAGATAAATAATGGGCAAATACCAATATCCATAGTATATGCACAACAGAGTGCAGTACTACTACACATTTCCCATTCCCTAAACCAATGTTTTCTCAACCTTGGCAACTTTAAGCTGTGTGGACTTCTGGTAGTTGAAGTCCACACCTCATAAAGTTGCCATATTGAGGAACAATGTCCAAAGTTGTAAAAGTTCCAGGGATTCTGGAACTTTTACAAGAACTTTTAATTGATGAACAGATTCCTTTTTTTTAATGTAAACAAACAAGGAAAATGCTGCTCCAATCACCTCCAACAGTCATTTCTGTACCACAGCAGATTCCTAGAATGACCTTTGCATGTATAGCCCTTTAACTTTTTGCGTAACAAGATAGTTCCTATATTTCTCTCCTTTCAATCTCATAGAAATCTTCCACCCACAAAATTTTCTCATCTCTGCTGGAAGAATAATTTTTTCCCAAACCTTGGGGCCATTTCTGTCAGAACTGAGGTGGTTTGCACATATAACAGTAGCCCAGGAATTTTCAGAGCCATACTTTGGTCCATAAACCACAATAAATACACAAAATTCCAAGCTGTAATGAGGGATCTCATTGGCAGAAGCAAACAGATATTAATGGTTTAGTGAATTCAGATAGTGAAATAATATCTTTTGCCTCAACTGGAGAAAGTAATCTTGTTTTGAGCTTTTCACTGATGAAAAAAAGGCTAACTAATCTGGGCTATTAAGTTAATATAGCAATAGTTGACCAGTTACCAAAAAGAATCTTACAAATCCATAGTTGATGTTGGGGTTGCCAGATTATGGGATGAAAATATCCGATGGCAGCAAAGAGTTTGTTTTATAGGTATCTTTGCCACCATCGTGTGGTTATCTGGAGATATGCAGCCCAAATCTGGTAGCAGCATATTGACAGAAATTGCACAGTATTCTTTTCATTCCCATTTTGCAATATTTTGGCTGAAAATAACACTTATTTACCAACCAACTGTAAAGTGCTTTTTTTATGCAAAGCTCTTAATGAGTTATAAGAGAGCTAATGCTCAAGAAAAACAAACAAAACACAGAACACCCACCCACTTTGGCTATGAAGAAAGATTTGGCTTTGGGAGCAATTGGGGAAGAATTCAAATTGACTAGCATGGAAAGTAGGCTACTGCTGCTACTCCCACATCAGTAGACTGCAAGACATTTTCTCCTTTTGCAGATCCTCCTCCAGGTTTGTAAAAATATCTATTGCAAAGGCATGGTTCTATGTGGTCTCACTCTAAATAAGCAGTAAGTGCCACATTTCAACAACCAGCCTATTCATGTATAGAATAGAATAGAAAAACAGAGTTGGAAGGGACCTTGGAGGTTTTCTAGTCCAACCCCCTGCTTAGGCAGGAAACCCTACACCATTTCAGACAAATGGTTATCCAATCTCTTCTTTAAAACTTCCAGTGTTAGAGCATTCAGAACTTTGGGAGGCAAGTTGTTCCACTGATTAATTGTTCCAACTGTCAGGAAATTTCTCCTTAGTTCTTGGTTGCTTCTCTCCTTGATTAGTTTCCACCCATTGCTTCTTGTCCTGCACTCAGGTGCTTTGGAGAGTAGATTGATCCCTTCTTCTTTGTGGCAGCCCCTGAGATATTGGAACACTTCTATCATGTCAGCCCTTCTTTATATTAAATTAGACATACCCAATTCCAGCAACTATTCTTTATATGTTTTAGCTTCTTGTGCCCTAATCATATTTGTTGCTCTTCTCTGCACTCTTTCTAGAGTCTCAACATCTTTTTTACATCATGACGATCAAAACTGGATGCAGTATTTCAAGTGTGGCCTTACTAAAGCATTATCAAGTGGTATTAACGCATCACGTGATCTTGATTCTATCCCTCTGTTTATGCAGCCTAGAACTGTGTTGGCTTTTTTGGCAGCTGCTGCACACTGCTGGTTCATATTTAAATGATTGTCCGCTAGGACTCAAAGATCCCTCTCACAGTTACTATTATTGAGCTGGGTACTACCTATACTATACTGTGCATTCTGTTTTTCTTGCCTAAAAGTAGAACCTTATTTTTCTCACCACTGAGTTTCATTTTGTTAGATAAACCTCTACCCCCCGCCCCAAGCCAGCAGATTTGCAGGGTGTGATCCAAAAAATAAAGATGATGGCCATGATGTTATGAATGAAACTGCCTCTTTGTATGTGTACTGCACATGCAGTGCATATAAAAAACAGGTAAAACTTCCATTGCATCTAAGTGGTTGCTGTTTTCATTTTTGCGATCATAACTGCTGATATCTTTAAGGCAAAAATTACCTTAGAACCCTGCTTTTACCAACACCTCTGCTGTGCAAAATGTAATGGACATTGTTAAACAATGTGTATTAATGTGCATGGTGCGTAAATATTAATCTCTGTGCTATATTCTTTAGGCCTGGTTTAAAAATAAAAGCTACTGAAAAGCAAAACAATTCCTAAAAATCAAAGTATGGGATGACCCTCTGGTCTAGACCTTTACTTACCTAGAAGTAAGTCCAATGGCAATCAATACAGAAGGTTAATTGGGAAAAAAGTAAATGAGGGAACTAGGTCTCTTTTTAAAAAGGAAGCACAGGATGAAACATAAATCCTATTTTGTTTCGTGGCTTTCCTATTTAATTTTGAATATTGGTACATTGTTTTTGCAATGAGTTTCCAAGGTAATGTCATACAATAAGGATATAGAATACCCAAATATGAAACACAATAATTTATTTGAGAGTCCTAAAATATTCCTAAAATCATAAAGTTGAAAGGGAACATTTTGGGAACAGAAGTTGTTCTACCAGTAGGCTTGGGAAATGTGTGATTTTTGAAATCATCAAAACCTAAATTAAGGGTCAGATGTCATGAGATTTTTGGTAATCTCTTACCCAAGATCTCATATAGATCTTGTATGGCAATGAGAAATCTCACACAATATTACGTGAGAATACTAATTTTTCTCAAAATCTTACCTAGATTTTGGGCATTGGTCATTCTTTAAAATGTATTTTTACTTAAATTGACAATCTAATTGATTTAGATTGACCAAGAATATTGTCAGCCTTCATGCAAAATAAAATTTAACATGCAAGACTGCATTGTAATTTATGGGTTAGATTTCTTCATAGGACTTCTTACCTCAGTATTATTTAAATTGCATGTGTGAGTTCCTGAAAACCACCCTTCATTTGAACATTGATCAATATCCACTTTCTGTAGATTTATGTCGACTTTCACAACACCCCTGAAAAAGAAAGGAAAAAAGATTAATTTGCATAAGACCAGGGTACCATAGAAAGGAATAGAAAAAAGCTGTAGTCCATTTTAAGATCATTTCTGAGAAGTTATGATTAGTGAAATGAAGCATCTCATTTAGTCAATCTAGTTACAAGTGCCAAAACTGCACTAAATATTAATGCCAAAAAAGGATACATTCTAATTGGCTGGTATATCACAGTACAGCTTTCTTTTAGCTGGTGTTCTTCAGTTTAAATAATTATCATTCATCATTTGTGCCCAGTTGAGATGCAACACTATTCTGTATGTATGGGAAATATATTCCAACATCTCTGGGAATATTAGATTTGGGAATACTACCTTAATTTATGGTAGTTATACAGGTATACAGTAGTTGTACTGTTATACTGTTAATCCATAAGGGATAATTATAATTCCTAATAATAATTCACCCAATACCATCATTCAATTTATGTCCAAACAAAGAAAAAGTAAACTTCCATAGGGTCTCCTGAGTCATCCTAAAATCATAATGGAATGGAGCAGAATTATTGTTTGGTTTTATGAACAGAAACTTTCTGTGCCAAAGAATGAGGCAATTTAAGAAATTTAACAAAATTGGGGCAGACTTCCCAACCTGTCTATTAATTCTGGATGGTATAATCAAATATATCTGAAAAGTTCATGGTAATGAAAGAATGGCATAGTGAGTGGATGAGGATAAATAGAAGAAAAAAAAAAGACAACTCTAAATATAACACCTATTTTTAAATAGCATTAATAATTAATACCGTAAATTACACCCATGACAATGACATGCCAGAAACCATCAGTCCATACAGGCTGCAAGGTGCCACTTATTAAGTATTTACAGGTTTAAAATATTTGTAGTATGCATTCTATTCAAAATAAACCTGCATATTTCACTATCACTGATTTAGTTGTGACTTGAATGCTGATCCATGTGAAGTTCATTTATCACCTTCCCTACCTTGGAAGAAATATTGTTATAGGCAGAAATAATTGCATTTACTTTATAAAATGTATTCAGTCCCAAGGGATATTTCTTATCTTCCTTTAAATTTTGGAAAGACCAGAATGTATTCCATAACAATTTCCTGGAATGGACATATGAATTTGTAGCATTGACTATAGAGAAATATGAGTGAGAGTTGTAAAATCATAGCGTAGCCATATCACTATGGTCTTTCCCTTTAGGAAGAATAATATCACATGCCCTTTTAATGTAAAAGGCCTCCTATGTAATCCCAAGATTGAAAGGGATCAGATTACAGCAGGGATTTGCAACCTGTTTCTATGAAAACCACTAAAAATTTGCAAGATTTCAGTCTTATTATGTGAACAGTTGAAAGATGTCAAAAGGAACCATATTGTAGATACATTAAAATAGAAGCTAATGGGACACCCTGCCCCCCCCCCCCATAGCTGGAAAACCTCTGCCAGTGAGAATAAACAATGGGGGATAGGAGAAACAAGAAATGTTCTTTCGAAGAAACTATTAATGCTGCCATTGTAACTCAAAACTCTTCGTAGCAATTTCGATGCTAACAAGGCCTGCTTTTCTACCCTTGATCCAACACCATATAATAAGCCATCATCTTCTTTGTGGCTATCCAGATAATTGATACCCTTTCAATTATTGTGGTTGGTTGGTTGGTTTGCTCCTTACTTGGTGCTTATGAACTTCACCCTGTATTTAGATCAAGTTTAGCAGAATGCCCTTAAGCACGGGTGTCAAACTCGATTTCATTGAGGGCCGCATCAGGATTGTGTTTGACTTTGGTGGGACAGGGTGGGTGTGGCCAGAGTGGGTATGGCCAGCTCGATGTCACTCTACGATCAAATGCCACTTTTGCTAGTAGTTTGTTTTGCTAACACTCTGCCAGCAAAAACAGAGCTTGTGAGGACCGCATGCGGCCTTTACGAGTTCCGTTTTCTCTGGCAAAGGCACCGTGGGCCAGTCCTTCGCTGTTTCCAGGGCAGCCCTATGGACCAGATCTAACCCCCCCATTGGGCCAGATCTGGCCCATGGGCCTTGAGTTTGACACCCTGCCCTAGAGCAAAAAGTAGGGTATATGTCATGTCAATAAATAATAAATTAAAATAAATTTTAAAATAAATTAAAATAATAAATTTAAAAAATTAACTACTTCTCAGGACTACTCCATGCCTACATTTATTTAGTTAGCTATAAATTTATATAGCCACCTATCTTTCAACTAACTCTGGGAGGCTTCCAATCAAAAATGAAACAACCTATAAAATCATATTGAAACTATAAAACTAAGTCAATTAAAACGCTAAAAGCAACAAAAACCTGTTGCCCAATCAAACTTCGAATTTGTGACTATTTAGCCAGGCCTTCAAAGGAAGGCTAAAAGAGAGGCCTGCAGAATTTCAGGGAACATATAACATTTCGTGTCTTCCATATTTAGACATTTTTATGATAAAGGCCAAATTTATAGGCTTCCCTGAAAATGAACTTGAAAGATACAACTGAAAAACTGTATCTTGTGTGTTTCAATCAGAAACTTAGTTTTTCCAGCAATAAGATGCTTTTCTCTTATAGCTAAATTTTACATGGTTTCTTATCTCTGTGACATCTATGTCAGTCCAGCTTTGATTGACCTGCCTGTATTACCTCTTTCTGGTTTTCCTATTTCCCATTTAATAGCAGGTAACAATGGAACAACTGGTTAGAACACCACATATTGAAAATGCCCCAGGAAGAGTCATGCTTGGAGACTTCTGGATCATCACTCACACAATATTCACCCAGAATGCAGAAGAACTGCACATGAATTATATATATATATCAGATAGATAATCAGATATAGGGACGCAGTGGCTCAATGGCTAAGACACTGAGCTTGTTGATCGAAAGGTTGGTAGTTCAGCGGTTCGAATCCCTAGTGCTGCATAACGGAGTGAGCTCCCATTACTTGTCCCAGTTTCTGCCAACCTAACAGTTTGAAAGCATGAAAAAAATGCAAGTAGAAAAATAGGGACCATCTTTGGTGGGAAGCTAACAGTGTTCTGTGCACCTTTGGTTTTTAGTCATGCCGGCCACATGATCATGGAGACCTCTTCGGACAGCTCTTTGGCTTTGAAATGGAGATGAGCACTGCCCGCTAGAGTCGGGAACGACTAGCACATATGTGCGAGGGGAATCTTGAACTTTACCTTTAATTAGATGGTGAATGCGGACACAGAGTATAAAACAGAGTCTAGCAAAAGTCAGAGACAAAATAAATGGAAAGGGAGATGGAACCATTTAATGGAGTTGGATAGTAATATGAAATAAAATACTGTTTAAAAAAGCAAAAAAGAATGAAACCATCTTAGCAAAGTAGAATGAATATTTGGATAGAAAAACTCTATTGTATCTCCTAGTAATGTTGACAATCATTCCCAAAAGAAGGACATTGCATTCTATGGTCAATGGACTGATTCACTATTGTACAAAGCAATTTCCTATCTTCTTAAGAAAAATGAATTGGGAACTAGGTAAGTATTTTTCCAAATAACATTCCACAAATGGGAGAACAGCTAACTCTAATGCGTAATAACCTCTATGGAATTTCTCTGAAATACCAAACAACAATGCATTTAACCTCTCTGCTTGTTGTTTGTCAAGGGTATTTCCCAGGGGTACCACCTGTAATGTTGCAGAAAGCAATCAGCCAGGAAGCTAGCAAAAAACAAAAAGAATCATGATGAATTTGATCAAACCATTACTTCATAGATGTAAGACAGGTTGGTCTCCAAAATCTTAGAGTCTCTCAAAACTACTAAATTGTAATGTTTAATGTGGAGATGTGGTGAAAGAAATTTTGATGGATTAGATTTGATAACTAGAGCACCAAAGGACTCTGAACTGCAATCTGTGATGCCGTTAAGGATAAATCAAACAGAAATATCCTGAAATAGAAAAAGCAAAAGAAAGCAAAATGGCTGCCTACTGATAGTCTGTAAACAACTGAAGAAATGTAGAAAGTAAAAGATAGCAGAGACAGAGGAAAAACTAAATGCTAAACTCTGGATAAAAACAGAAAAAGACAAGGACTGGTATCTAAATAAACAATGCAAAGAAGGTAACAAATGATTGGGAAGGACAAAAGGTTTACCTAAAATTGCAGAAATGAAGAACACCTTTTATGCATATGAGCATAATGAAAGATGAAGACAAAAAAATTTAAAAAGAAGACATAAAGAAAATCTGGCATGAAGATAGTACAGTACAAAAAAGATCCTTAAATCTGTGATAAGCATAACAGTTTGATCATTGATCATTTGATCATTTATTGTGGAAAGTGAAGTTAAATTGCTACTTCAATGAAAATGAAATACTAGCAAAACAGCTTAAAACCTTACAGAAAAATGCATTTAAAATACTACATTTTGTTTGCAAACAGGCATGGGAAAGACAGGTGTAGCTGAAGGCTGGGAAAGATTCATTAAATATTCTAATGCTAAAAAAAAGGACATTGCTAAGAAATGTTCATCAAACTACTGAAAAATTGCATTGATCTCAGATGGTAATAAGGATTTTACTAAAGATTTAGCCATTCGCTTTTCCAAAATACATAGAATAAGAACTTCCAGATATACAAACTGGAAAAGGAGGAGGAAGAGCAGAAATCACATTGCTAAGATCTGAATGGTTAATGGAATGATAAAGAGAGTTCCAAAAAGGCCAAGTTTTCTTTTATTGGCAAAAACTTTGGACTGATTAGACCACAACAAATTATGAATGCATCATGTATTTTTGGAAGAAATTGTATGATGACAAGAAAGTAACAGAATTTAAATTGGTACAACTAACTGCTTAAAAATTGAGGAAAACTACAACTGTATATTGTCATATTATTCTTTAACTCATATAGTGAATACATCATAAGAAATGCTGAAGTAGAAGAAATAGAAAGGGGAAGTAAACATTTTTAGAAGACCTGAAGCATGGGCAGATTAAAGGTAATTAAAAAA